CTGAATTATAAATATATTATTGTAATATGTTTCTGATGGTTATTTTCTGTTAAAAAAAGGGAAGATCCTGTTGATACAAAGCTACATTTCAGGACATAAGAATTTATATCTGGTATACAAGATGTATTTATGTTGTTTGACCATGCAGGTTTTCCAGCATATTGTTTGTGATGGTAACCTTTTGGTCCAGGTATTCTCCTCTCTTCTGCTCCACCTCCTTATGGTTACAGGTACATTTATAGACCTGCCACTACCCCTGAACAGCTTGAAGCTGGATTTCCACTGAGGAGACCAGATTGGGACCACAACACTGGAGCAGCAGAGAGAACTCCAGGATATGTCTTGGTGCACAAGCGGAGACTTTATTGTCCAGAACAAGGATTTAATGGGACTGGTGATTTAATAAGACATTTCAAGGGTTTTTGGACTGGTCACTCGAATATTCCATGGACTTAGGCTTGTCTGTTGGACTTTGTGGTTGTTGTATGTGTCACTGGATGATAGGAATGTGTCAATCTTTTGTGTGTCGTCATGGACGACTTGCTATGGCTGTACAGGCTTCGGTAGAGGATGATGCATCCCGGGTGGCCATCTATTTGGCGCAAGCCCGTCACGCATAATTCCCTCTCCATGGAGTATCCAGAGACGGGTAAGGTCAGGGCATCCTTTCTACCAACCTAAGACAGGCAAGAGGGACATAAGCCCTCTTTGCTGATGACGGGTAAGGAGAAAGGACATCCCTACCACCTAAGACAGGAGCTCCTTGGCATATGTCTGGCGCCCTCTGCAGGGGACTCACTGACATAAGAAAAACAGGGGAATTATGGAGAGCATTGTAAAGGAACACGACATGAGCACAGCCGTACTGACCTGTGATTCACCCGAGCAGTGTGGACGGAGGTGCCGTCGCCCGTAGCAACGGGCTAGTTCAGCTGGTGGTCTGATTCCTTCCGGAATGTGTGGGCGGTACTCTCGCTCCCCGTGCAGCAGGAGAGTATAAAAAAAAAGGAAGAGGTTCTGTAATAAAGCAAGCAAGGAACATGAGAAGAAAAGTGCCTCCCGTCTCTCTCCTCGTCCTTTCAGGTTTAGGACCTGCTGGCAGGATCCTGACGTCGCGGCTCGCGACATTCTCTGACACTCAAAACAGGAGATCCTGGTGAGGTTAGTACAGGGCTGGATGTATACCAGAGCAAGAGCTGCCTTCACCAAGATAGGACCATAGAAGAGACTCATGGGAGCAAGTCCTCCTCAACCCTGTCACTGAAGAGGCAGCCTCCTTTTGAAAATCTTTTCAAAAATAAGATGAAACACTTTTTCCAATGGCTTTATCCTAGTATAAAACATGGAACACAAGAAAGCTCCAAGGGGAAGACGCGTGCCTTGTCATCCTATGTGCAGAGCAGGGGCCTGGGTAGAGGGAGAGCTGACTCTACTGGGAACACCAAAGATCGGAAACTCAGCAGAGGCTTTGCAAAGTTCTTTCACCAGAATTTGCAGGAAAATCATTTTCTTCCCCCCCAAATAATTTCTTCCTTTTTGAAAATATTGTTCCCAATAAATGTCCTAATAAAATAATGTATTTTTGTGTACTGTGTTGAGGGCATGGGTTTTGGGTAACTCGGGCTTGTGATTTTGTAAAGTGCTAAGTACAGCTCTCAGTGACTGATTCTTTGGCTTCTAAAGGTGACCAGTCCTCTGGAGCCCTATTTGAACAGATATCATGTATCCCCCAAAGCACCTTCCCTCCCTGAAGTGTGAGGAAGTTTAGCCTCCACACATTGTGTGGCTGCCCGTACCTTCCTCTTCCTTCGCTGATTCTGTAGGTCTTCCACGTCTAAAGAGATGGCCACAGACAGACGAGGCTTAGGAACAAAGTGCACCAAGTATTTGCAGAGGTGGAGGGTGATCTTGCTTAATGTTTGGGGGAAGTTACTACCCCAGTGGATCCTGGGGAGTTGGGCAGGACCTAGCAGCAGTGTAGATGTCCTTTGGGTGGTCTTGGGAGGGGTGTGTGTTAATGTGTTTCAGAAAGATATTTTTTAAAAAAATTTTATTTTATTACTGTGTGTTTGTATCACACAGTGATTACAGTGAGTTGGTGGATATTGTGTGCGCGCAGTAATCTTGGTTCTTTTTACAACCCTTTCCCCTGCTCTCCCTTCTCCTCCCTCCCTTGTTTCCTTTCCCATTTGCAAAAGATCTATCGCTTTCCTATTCTCTATTTTTATTTTGTTTTTTTAATTTGCCATTGAGTCTTCTCTACTGGAAAATCACCTAAGTCATTTGTTATTTTGTGGCTATTTCTTCCGGCTGTCTGGACTGGTATTTTGCACAATGAAAGGTCACCCAGATATCACTGGTGGGAATGTTGAACCAGCATCCACCTCCTTCCCAGGGTAAAAAAAAAAAAAAAAAAATGCTGAGAGTTTAAGGAAAAGGTAACCTAAAGAGAGTAGAAAAGTGAGAAAACAGAGAGGGAAAGAATAACCCTGCTGGGGGAACAGATGTTTATGCCACATGATCCACATATCACGAACCTGTGTTGCTCTCAGTTTTCCAGAGTGATCCATTCAGTATTTCATCAAGGCTGACCAGAACACCATAGAGCTTATTGATGTCACACCAGCAGAAGAGCACATGGGGCTGCTGGTTGAGCACTAAATATCTGCAGGGATGTTATCAGGCATGGCTTCCCTCTCTAGGGAAGGTGAACTTGATGCCTTCCTTCCACCTGTGCTTGATGACAACACGCAAGATCTTGCCCCTCGGTGTGTGTGGTTCACCCATCAGAACAGACATGCCACTCTGATCTCCAGTGACCTTGCTGGAGCCATGGGAGGTTGGGCCCTGTCAGCTGCAGTTCATGACCTAGTGGAGAATCTTAGACTATGCACCAGGGATACAGATATGAAGGGGTCTCACATGGACCTACGTAGAACACTCTCTGGCCAAGACCATCTTTTGGGAAGGCAACTACATTAGTTGCTTCCCCCTCGTTGGGACATAATAACTGATAGGCACAACACAAAAAAGGAGAGGTTTATTTGACTCAGTTTCCAGGTACAGCCTAAAGTTGGCTGGCTCCAA